TAATTTGTCCGATTAATCCGAAAGAATAAGTTATAAGATAAATAAATATTAATAAAAGTACAATAAATTTTATTTCAAGTAATAGAAGAAAAAATTTTTTAGCCTTTCTTTGAATGGAATATTATATTTTTAATAAATATATTTAATTAAATATTGAGTTTATATTTTAAAGTGATTTTCCGAATTTTTCACAAATAATCATGACACATATTTAATATTTTCTATATAGAGAAAATTTCGTATGAAAAGCCAAATATAAAGTGTTTTCATATATTTTTAAGCAATAAAAGAGAAACAAATGAAGATATATTATACCTAATATATTTGTAACTGTAAAGTAAAATATTAAATTTGGAAATGTGTTAAATCCTTTTATATATTAGATAAATCTTATATATATAGAAAAGTGATAGTAATATGTTCGTTAGTTAAGTTAGTTTATATGATCCGTATACTACCATGAAAAAGTATACGCCTGATTCTTATATGCAAGGAAAAATTTATAATGCTTCTCCTTCATATTTTTATATCTCCATTGATAAAAATTTTAGGAAAATCGAATTAGGTAGAAAATATTTTTTCTACCTCATCCCCAAGCCATATGAATTTATATTTTATTTAGTACTCTTTCATGAATATATTATGCTTGAACTTTGTGCTTATTAGATTTATAACATTTATGTAAAATAGTTCATTATCCCTCACAAAATGTGTAAAACATAATATATGTTCTTTTTTAAATAAAAGTAATGGAGATTTAAAACAATTGAATGTATATTTAATAATATAATATAATTATTTAAAAAGCTATTTTTATCATTAAATTTTTATGATGTATTAAGATTTTCTTCAGATTTTACGTATCATATAATAGAGGTTTGTAAGCAATAAATGCAAAGTCGTCAATTCTAATGTTAATTGTTAATTACCATTTCAAGAGGATCGCTCCATTTGCTTATATATAGAGTTTCATCAATGTATATTAAATTTTATAAATGTAATGACATATCAAATTACTTTATATTTTCAGATTTATAATACAAAATTGCATATAGTTAGTATAACTGTATGATAAATTAATTATCCTCAGAATCAAATACACATTTATAAATTAATTGTTTTTGAGTCGTAATTATTGGAATTTATAAAAGAAATTCGATTGTAAGTATTACTGTAAACATTCTTTTCTTAAAAGAAAATGACGCAAATATTTCCACTATTCTACGCTTAAATTCTAAAGGTTATTTTATGCATCCATGCTACAATTCATTTTAAATTTATCTTCGATAATATTATGAATATGATTTTAGAATAATATTCAAATTTATATGATTTATTCGATATTTTAATTTATTTTTAATTTAATAAAATAAAAAAAAAATTAAATACCATGTATTTTATCTATTTGGTATAAATAAAATGATGTTTAATTCCGTTGAGACTTTTCCAGCAATTGAATGAATTTTTTGTGAAACTTTAAATAGCTGTTAATGAATTTTAATATATTTGTTTTAGTAATTTTGGAAATTATTCCATGTTACATACTTATAAAAACTAAAATACATTACATTGAAGTTTCTATAAGGCTGGCCTAATACTGGCTGGTACTACTGTCTCTAAAAAATTTTTACTTGCAGACAGAGGGAGAGAGAGAGAGAGAGAGAGAGAGAGAGAGAGAGAGAGAAAATAAAGAACTATGAAAATAACTACGACAACGACGAAAGTTACTACTACGACTACTTCAATAATAATTGCTGTCTTATATACATTTCAACAACCGCAACATATACTAAAGATACTCGACCTGCCTATGCTTTGAAATTCGTGACAACCAGACAAATTAGTGTTCTCATACTCTATTCTTCGAAAAAAAAAATAATTTGCACAAAATGTTAATTAAAATTAAGTACAATTTTAATTTATAATTAATTTCTTTTTTAATGATTCAACGTGATTTTATAGATATTTTTAATAATATTTCTTATAGATTTTCATGAAAATTTTAACAAAATTACAAGATATTAAAATTTTTAATTAGCTTCTATAGTCGAATTTTAATTTCTAATCCAAATTTTAGTAATAATAAATTGAATAAGTAAATTCTTTTCATTAACCAAGATGTACATATATTCTCTTAATATAGTGGTTTAGAAAAGTAATATTTTACTTAATTTTTAGCATAATTCTGATAAACTTAATGAAATTCATTAAATTTAAAATTTTTTATTTCTAATACATAGTTTTAAATACATTTATTTCAATGCTCTATTTTTACATTAAAAATAATTTTTTAATTTCTTTTGTTTTTTCTTTTCATTATTTTCTTCTAATTATATGATTCCGCTGCATAACTCATATTGATTATACGATTATATGTATAAATAATTAGTTCATATTAATATAAAAATTTTATCGGCATTATTATAATAATTAATAACATATATATTAATAAATAGGACACCTACATTATGATAAGTTTATATGGATTTTCTACAATGAAAATATTAATTCCTTTTTTAGTTAATTATTAACCTTAGATAATATTTCACTAATGCTTTATTAAAATTAGAAAAATTATTATATTAGAAAAATATACTTTATTTATAAAACATAAATTTGAAGAAAATTTGAAAGCCCAGATATTTGTAATTTTTTAATGCAAATATTATAGTAAAAATCAAATGAAAAAATTGACAATAAATAGAAAAGCCTAAAATTGAAAAATTATAAATTTATAACAATGCTCTATAGAATTTAAATAAAATGGTTGAGAACCCTTTGAAATAGCATGTAGCCACAACCATTAATATAAACGACAATCGTGTATAGCCAACTTGGATCGTTCATGAAGAAACTAAGAAGTGGAAGACCAGGAGAAAGACAATAAAAGGGGACAGAGACTCTCGAAAGTTGGAGGACTAAACCCACTTATTTCGCATTCTATACGGCATTATGAATCAGTCGGCAGAATAACGTGGAGCATTACCAGGAATAGTCCTCGTATTCGACATTGGGACCAAGTGAGGCGCACAAGATGATTGAGACTCAAGAGGAAGCTAAAGTAAGAAAGGCTTTTTAAATGCTTCAACATTTGCGCTTCATACTTCTTATGTGAAAAAATAAACGTTTATCTTATTCTTCTTTTTTTTCTTTTTTTTTCTTTTTTTGTCAATGATTAGTGGCGCTAATTCGTTCAGTGATTCAAAAAAATAACACTAACAATTTATTATTAAATATTATTGTAATTTCAAGGGATCTGCTGAAAAGTTTGTCGCATATATTATACACCAAGAAAAATGGATTTTTATGGCAGGAAAAACAAAATTATAAATACAAGGGTAATGAAATTTTTTAGCACGATCGACCAACATTAATCGAATGATAATTATGTATTGATTAAGATTTTTTTGTGAATATCAATGATTATAAAAGAAATAATATGCCATACGTAAGCATTTTAATAGCTTTTTTGTTTTTTCTATTTATAAAAATAAACAATACTTTCTTTTAATGTTCAATAATTATTCCAATTATTTAATAAGCCTATGAATAGTAATTCCGTTATATCTTATTATAAATTTTGGTTGAATCGTTATTTAATATCGTATACCATATCTTCACTGATAACAGCTATCTCTAAATATACGATAGAAATTTGAATTTTTTGAATATTTATAAAAGATTTTGCTATATATCGATCTTATAGTAATATTGATTTTGTTTAATATTTTCTCATTATTCATATTTTCCGTGTCATGCAAGTAAAGAAAATTTAATTCATTCCTAATATGCTCATTAAAATGAGAGCGAAATAATAATTTCTAATCGATATATAAACTTCATTATACTTGCTCCTCTTATTTTTCATCTCTTATACCTAATTATTATCTAACCAATTAATTTCAATGCCGTCTATAATTTATATTTCAATTTATATTTCTATAATTTATGTTTGAAATATGATTATGTATATATATATATATATATATATATATATATATTTAATTGTATATAAATTGTAAAGAATAATTTCAATTTAATTTATCATAAAATACACATAAATTGTTAAATTCCATTTGTTTTGTTTCTTGCAAGAGGTCATTGCCTCTAAATTTCCATTCATCGTCATACATTGTACTCCAAGCTTTAGAAATATCGATTCACGTATCGGTCAATTTCAACAAAAGTTCCAACACAAGCTTAAGTCATTACATAGGATGTCGGTGCCAGTCACGAAATCTCTCTCTATTTCAGTTCATCGAATGTGCATAAAAGCTCACGGGTGTGCATATTATCCTTCTGTTTACACTTCACTCGTACAAAAAGTTATCGCATTTCATTTCATTTCGTAAAATCCCTTCCTTTTATTACCGTTTCTTAATTATTTTCTAATATTCTATCTAATTTTAGCAATAAGTCAGTGTGTAGTGTGAACTTGGGGTGCGATCATAGAAGAATTAAAGTAGAATTGAAGTTTCACGTAGATTTTGCGTAGTTATTTAAAATAATAAAAAGTGTTTGAAAAAAAAAAATCAAATGTTCGTACAAGGACCTAATGTCGTTTGTCAAAAATCGGAAAATTCAGAAGAAGCTAGTGACGATGAATTATCGGGGGATACCGTACAGGTTAAGCTTAAAAAGAATATATTAATTAATTTTATTTTTGTCTAAATATCAATTGTTTCCTTTAATTCTTTAGCGCTAACTAATGATTGTTTATCATAAAATATAAATCTAGGCTGATAAAATTTGAAGCACTGATTTTGTTTCGTGTAAAAACTATTTGCATTTCTAAAATATTCTCACAGCTAAGAAATCAATCGATACACAAACAGAGTTTAGAGACTCAGAAAGTATAATGAGTATATTCGCTCATTCGAAAATGACGTTAAGATATTTTGACACTTATTGCGTAACAATGTGAATAATTAATATTATTATCATATGAATAATTGTAGAGGCGACGAGAAGAATGCGAACGAAAGGCCCGACGTGGGGAAATGGACCCCCGACTGGAATTTGCATTTCAACTTTTAATAGATGCAACCGGTTTGCCGAGGTACGAAGTGATGGATCACGTTTTCGAAGCCGATATGCTCGATGAAATCAATCAATTATACTTGCCGCATATGAAATCGACGCTCATGTGGTTTTATCAAGAGGTCGAGGAGCCTGAAATTCAACGACCAGTTGAAACAGTAAGACAATAAAACTTTTTCTTGTCTCCGAAATTCTAATGATACAACGATATTACTATAACGATACAATCCGTTAAACATTCTTTAATGGATTCATATTATTGGCACTGTAGTAATCCTATTTAATAGCGCGGTTATTGTTATAATGTAATAATTTTACTTAATATCAATTATGTATTATTGAAATACTATACGGCATTATAGGGCCAGACAAAAGCAGCTACATCGCGTCCTCAGCAAAACCCAGCTACGACAAAAGTCAAGGAAATCAAAGAAATAAGAGAAGCTCCTAAAAAAAAATTATTCCTAACCGATGGCTGGCAAATTCCTTGTACAGGACTGTGTATTTATATGTTTCGGTATATTTGATACATTCACGTAAAAAGGCAGATAAATATTTTAATAATTTTTACTTAAAATTTATGGATTAAAATACATGGCCAAGTATCATTATATTTACATAATTACGTTGATAATTCCAAATGGACAATATTTAGTTTCTCACGAAGTATTTGTCTCCGATGAAACTTCAAATTGAAATGTCTTTAATATCGATGTGTCGAAAATAGTATTAAACAAAAAAAAAAAGTATTAAAATATTTATCGAAAAATCTTGAATCGACATAAGCGTCGTATTATTTTACATTTAATTAATCGACTGACGTTTAACTTAAATATTTGTCCCCTCGATGCTACTTATCGCCAGTATTAATATTACAAAACAGCTGCCCGAAGAGGGATTTCAAAAAGATCTTTTCACGGGTGTCATCGATGCAAAAAAAATTGGTATTATACCGTACATTCAGCGTGTTATCGAACGAGTTTTTATGGATGCTTTGGCCCATCCAGGAGTCGAGGACGAAGACAATTGTCCGATGATTAAGACTATTCTACTTCCTGGTTTAAGGTCGTTTTGCAGTGCCTTAAAAGGTAAATCTTATCATTGAATATTTATTTTAATTGCATCCTCGCGCGCGCACTAATACGCGCCTAATACGATGTGATATTCATCGGAGAATAAAAATATTTTATTCTATTTTTACAATTTACATTGGCCTAAAAAGTTTTTAGCATGTTCGACATGCTGTCTATCATCTTACCGAATCTTTTACCGCTCGAATGAGCCGTGAAGATTTTTCTTAAAGAATATTTTTATTGCTCTTACATAACGAAAATACGGTATATTTAACGAGACAATAAAAATTCTTGTATTCAGTTTGCGAGGAAGTGGCGAACGACGGGAGTATTTTCGACGACGGGCAAAACATGATGAGCGAGGTTCATGATGCTGAAAGTGCTAAAGCCTCGCTGGCAAGGAATAATGATATAGAGATAATAGAAGAACGCGTGCGATGCTGGATAAAAAGATTGAAAGATTTTATGTTGGAGAGCAAACAAGTGAGAAGGGAGAACGACAATAGTGGACCACAGCAAGAACTCGAGTATTGGAAGAGACGAGGAGCCCAATTTAGTCAACTTGTTGCGAGACTAAGAGTAATAATTTTTAATATTATCGATCCTCGCCTCTCGGAGGTCGCCTCACGCATTAAACTTTAACAGACTAATAATTATATATCTCAAATGATGTAATCAAATAATGAATACAATGTTTCATAAATAATTGCAATTAGTTGGTCGACAAAGTTTAGTGGTAAAAAAGTAACAAATAATACATTCCTAGATTTTTAGAAATATATCATTGTCCGATAATATAAAAAGTTTATCAATAGATTTCATCGGATTTCTTTCTATAAATAGTTAAAAATCAATTAGAAAAGAAAAAAAAAACAAAACAAAAGGTAATATTTTAAGGTTTCACGCGGCTTATTTTTGTGTGACATCAACTTTGTTGTTTATTGAATTATAAGCTCAAAATATAATTACTCTTAAATAAACAATAAATAGTGGGAGACTCTTTTTTCATATTTGTGGTGCTGAAGCAAAATTTTATAAATTCCGCTATATAATTACATTTTTACAGGATAATGAAGTTATGATGTCTGTACTATGTTTGCAAGTTTCAAAATCAAAGCTCGTAAAAGAGTGGAGCAACATGGAAGATGAAATTACGTATTGTTTTAACGAAGCCAAAGATAATGCAAAATTTATTCAAGCTTTAGAAAAATGTTGTCATTGCTTATATTTAGAGAATCCAGTAAGCGTGCGTTAAAATATATTAAAATTTTCATGCATTTTTAAGCTTAATTTTGCTATTTCATAAAACTCATTATTGAATTCTGTATAACTTAATTATTTAAGCTACCGCACAATTGTAATATTTTGAAAATAGGTGAGAATGCGAGATTCGCTGGTATCATTGTTGCAAACCGTAAGGTTAATTTACAGTGTCTCCAGATATTATAATACTTCTGAAAGGACAAGCTCTCTTATGGTTAAAATCACAAATCAAATGATTGCAGCTTGCAGAGATTATGTGACTGAAAGAAATCGTGTGACGGTTTGGGGTCAAAATAGAACAAGCGCAAGACAAAAATTGAAGCACTGCCTGAGATTAAACAAGTAAATTTCATAAGCTAATATTAATAAATATTTAAGAATTAAGTAGCGTTTATCTCGTTCTGTCATTTAAACAATTTAAACAATATCATAACGATCGAATTTTCACGCAAAGTATTATTTAAGAGCATATCGAGAAACGTATCGATTGGTGCGCTGCTCACCAGCTATAACGGAAGAGGAATTTTCTTTCTCGGAAACACACGTGTTTGGTCGTTTCGATTCATTCTGTGCCAGGATACGCAAAATCATAACCCTCTTTGATCTAATAGATGATTATCAACGACTATTTGAACGCAGAATGGAAGGTTTACTACTAGGGGAAGGTAACATCATTGATTTTTACTTCCATTTGGCATATATTCGCAATGAACATCTACCCACTAAATATTTCTTTATTGGATAATATAATTAATGTAATTGCATAGGGGATAATGGTAACTATTAATGAAACAAGTCTGTCTGATTCGTGTAAACTGTAGAAAAGAATCATTTTCAGCTCTCGATGAAACGGTGAAAACATTCGAGGAAGGAAAAAAAATTGTTATCGGCAAAAGCTACGACTACTTGGATCCGAGAAATTTAGAATTTAATAATGATTATGAGGAATTCATGAGAAAGATAGGGGATATGAAAGAAAATGTTAGCTGTTTGATAGAGACAAATTATGCTGACGTTTGGGAAACTCTACAAGGAATTCGCTTTTTAACTCGATTTGAAAAGGTTGGGAATACCCCTACTGTTTCAATACTATAATTTTATGAAATATATCTGTTCAATAATTCATTACGAAATTTCTTCCTCTACCATTCATACACAGGTCAGCGAAAAAATTCCTTTAACCAAGTTGGATGAAAAATATCATCTAGTGGTGAAGTACTGTGATAAAGAAATAGATCGAATTCTTAAGCTTTTTAAAAGGCAAAGGGACGATCCACCGTTGCCCAGGCATTTACCACCGATTGCTGGTAGACTAATCTGGGCTTCTTCATTAAAGTTCTGTCATTATTTCTCCTGTCATTATAATCGAATTTTTATTAAAAATATGATATAAAACATATGTTTTATATGAAAGCTGTGCTAAAGTATAAAGTAGCTTCTTTCAATTTTATAAGCGCTATTATTTTTCGCTATTCGGTAATTAATAATTTTATTTTGAAGCAAGTTCTCGTACGAGAGCATAAGCCATTAATAATAAAAAAAATTTTTAAATGCCAATGTAACGAAGATCATTTAAATACATGTTAATTTAATGCATCGCAATCAATTTACACGTAAAAATTCTAATCCCAATTAATTAACTGTAATCGATTTTACATTTTTTTCCCTTTTCAATTAACAGAATACATTTAGACGAATTAGCAACTTCCGTGTCAAATCATCCAGTATTAAAAACATTGACGACTACCGTTGATTTAGTTAAAAGATACAATCATACTGTTTCTGTGATAACTCAATATCAAATGGACATCACTCGAGTATGGACTCATCAGAATTCTTGGATAATCGAAGACTGTCTGAAACAGTAAATGACATTTTATCATAATATTTCGCATAATCGTTAATATCTCAATAGTTTGGTGACAAATATTAGTGACAATAAAACACAATAACTGTGCAGGATTATATTTTCTTATTTTTTTTTTTTTTTTTTTTTTAACTTTCATTAATATTCTTTATGGTACTGTATTTGAGCTAATGTTTCCTTATTTTTTATCAGCTAATAATCTATCTAGCGATTAAAAATGCATTAACATCAGTTCGATTCTAAACGAATCATGAAATCTTGACATATCGCGTTATATTGGCGTGCCTAGTGTCAAAATGCCATTCTCGATTTTGTTTTTAGAAATTTGCTAACTGTCGACGAGTTAACCGGGAAATTAAAGGTTAATCTGGAAAGTCGCATCGTTCTGTTACTACGTGAAGCCGACTGCTTGGCAAAATTAAAGCTCGAGATACCAATAGTTGCAAAATCAATACTCGCCAAACGGGATCATTTCACGATAGTCAAGGATTCCTTGCAGTTCGTCATCGAGGATTTCGTAAACACGGCGAGGCGCGTAAAACTCGAGGTACGGCCACTTCTACTTCCTCATCTCGTACATGTAACATCTCTTCTGAAGCCCGGACTAGTTTCCCTCACCTGGACAAAACCAAATTGGAGAGAATATTGTCAGAGTACGCGCGAACAAATCAAGCAATTCGATATTCTTATTACCAGAGTTCACGATGTTTACTCGAATCGGTAGGTACTTTATGTCTTTAACGCAGCGTTGAGCAAATAACATTGACATAAGAATTATTTTGAATCCTCTATTTTCATTCTAATTAAATAATAGTACCTTTTAAACAATTTAAACATTTAAAAGTGTTGTAATATGACGTTTAATTATGGCTATTACACGATACTTATATTATAAATAATATAAAATTTTGTTACTAATATCTCCTGATTTCACGTTAAAAGTCGATCGTACATTTATTACGTAAACATTGTTATTTTGAGCTCTTTGTTTAAAATATAATAAAACGCTAAATACTATATATATATATATATATATATATATATGCCGTTATATATAATATGTAAGACATCAATATAAATTTATTTAACTTATTTTCCATGAAAATTAAAAAAGAATTCTCAAAGTACTCGCGAGTATGCAAAAAACAAGGTTGTATGCATTACCGGAAGATAAGCCTTGGAGTATCGAGGACTTTATGGAGAAAACCGAAGAATTATGTAGAACGGCTGCTGTCGACTTACATAGGAAAAGTCTTATGGTAGAAGAAGCTGTGGAGGAAGTTTTGGAGTTGGTAAAAAATGCTACATCGACATTCAAAAACACCATGGATTGCGATCAATTTAACTTTTTTAATGGTAAGGTTTAATTTAGTATTGTAAAACGAAATTATACTTTTTTTTTTTTTATTATACTTTTCGAGATATTAATTTTTAGCATTATATCACATACTGTAATTCTCTATTTATCTCAACCATGGCTTTTTAATATTAATATATAATACTTGAATTATTAACGTTTGAATTATGAGATAACATTAAGACATTAAACTTGATTAACTATCAAATTATATCTATTACATTGTCATATGAAATAGGATAAATTGTATATAGCTACAGATGAACAACAATCCACGGAAGTTGTTCAACAGCAGGATTGGACGCTTGTTTGGTCATGTTTTGATAATCCCCATCAATTATTATCGACAACAGAAGGAAACCTGTCGAAAGCCATGCAGGAAATGGTGCGAAATGCCGTTTCCGAAATGAGAAGATATTATTCGAGGAAAGTCGCTGATGTTCTAATAAAGATCACGAAATCCTCCCTCGACATTATAAGACAACGATTTTCGCATGAAATCGACATAGGTATCGGTATGAAGAGACAATTGGTTATAATTTTTAAAAAATTTTCTTTTCTTTCTTCAAAGATTTTTATTGCAATAACTAAACTAAATATCTGTTCGATAAATATTGTAGATTAATTAATGATTTCTGTCATATTTAATAAAAATTTTCTCGCTAAATTTCTCTCTAACTGTATACAGAAAATAAAATTTCATCTTGTAACAATTAATTCACCGCTCGTTCGTACAAAACGATCCTTTTAATCTATAAGTAATTTATGCATAATTTACAATTGCAACAAAATTTATATTAAATGCCGTGTTTTGCAGAGGAAGTTCCATCGCCAATTTTCATGTTACATGCAACGCTTATGATACCAACAGTCTTAGTAAAGCCAAGTCTCGATGACGTACAAGAAGTTTTAATGTCTGCTGGAAAAACCATAGCTGGCGTAGCTAAGGGCGTTGCCCAATGGAATGGTGGAAGCAAAGATACGAAAAATATAAAGGTAAAATTATGGATTACGATTGTTTTTCTTATATATTGTTTGCGTCAGGCAGTAATGCACAAATCGTTTTCAATATTTTTCTACTTCTTTTTGAAGTAGTACTATTCTAGTAGTAGTACTATCATATATACAATCATTTATAATATTCTATAATATACTATAATATATATATATATATATATATATATATATATAATTGTACTATAATAGTAGTACTATTTTTTCTGCTTCTTTAATGACTTTATTGGAAACATTAACGAATAATTTGCAATGAATTTAATATCAATTCAATAGTGTTTTTAATGTGACATTATTCTAGTCAACGTGGCAGTCGTGCACACCAAAAAGAAATTTATTAGATATTGTGACGAAGATGCAGTTAGAGGCTGAGAAATCTAACCAAGAAAATAAGGAAGACCCCAAAGCACGTAGAAGAAGATTATATAAAATTGCATCGGAAGAAAAGCCAACTTTTCCCGTACAAAAATTAAACTTTTATTCTATTATTATGGACAATAAAGAAATCATTAAAATGTTTTCAATATTAAGCTCATGCACGCAAGGACTTCGGCAGGTTGTAATTCAATTAAATTAAACTTATTTGCACCTTCCTTATCATTATTATCTATTATTCTAGAATATGGCAGACTTTTTAGAACGATGGACACCATATAATTTTCTTTGGACTGACGAGCGCAGTATACGCGATCTTTTACAAATATCTTTGGCAGAATTCGAGGCTATGCTGAGGAAACACGGTGAACTTGAAAAAAAAATAGTAACCGAACCCGACATAGTGATTTTTGGAAAATCTATTGCCGTGTCAACTGAAAAATTACAATACGCTTTATTAATGGAAATAAAAAGTATAATAAATAATAATGAATAAATTATCATTGTTCACGCGTATATATATATATATATATATATATATAAGTGAATCTCTATACATTTTGAGGTTCCACTCACAAAATTGGCCAAGCTATCAAGAAAAAATATAAACGAGAAATGGAATACGTTTATGCCGTGATGAATGAAATGGATCGAAAATTGGACCGTCAGATGCGTGATTTAGATGACGTACGTTTAATTATGGATACTCTAAGAAAAATTCGAGAACAAGAGGTTGATATGGAATTGAAAATTGACCCAATCGAAGAAGCTTTTAATATTATAAGTCGTTATGAAGTTCCAGTCGATCGAGAGTGTATTGAACAAGTGGATAATCTTAGGTAAATCGATGTAAAATCGTTTCTACTGCATTTATTTGCATTCTCATGTAAAAAGAAACTTGTTCGAATTAATTTTCATGTTAATTAATACACGCAACAAACGACCTTCAAATAACAAAGTTTTGTAAATTAATTTTTAAAAATATTTGATCAAAAATCTATAAAATCATACATCCGTTACCCCCTATTATTTACAAAAATACGCATTCAGTTGTATTAATAATATTTATTATTTATTTAATAAGAAATTCATAAATGCTCATTAACAATTTTCATTGCAATACGTTACAGTCAGCACACATACATACAATCCATTTCTTAATCTATCACATTCTCACTTCACGATCAAATAATCCAAGTTTTAATTGAAAATCTACTGGTGCACCAATTAATCGAACTGCAATTACCTCGTACAGATACACGTGGCAGCAGCTAAAAAGTCGAGCTTTAGAATGTCACGTTCAGCTCTTAACTCTCCAACCGGAATTGGAAGCTGAATTACGAAGTAACCTTGAGAAATTTCGTCTGGACAATGAGATCTACTGTAAAGAATATCATTTAACAGGGCCGATGCAACCAAGCCTCACACCTCGCGAGGCCTCCGATCGACAAATACTATTTCAAAATCGCTTTGACGGCATGTGGCGCAAATTGCTTGCTTATCAAAGTGGTGAAGAGCTGTTTGGTCTGCCCACCACCGACTATCCGGAACTCTCGCAGATCAGAAAGGAGCTCAATCTTCTTCAGAAGTTGTATAAGCTGTACAATGATGTGATCGATAGAGTCAGCAGTTATTACGATATACCATGGGGGGAGGTGAATCACTTATTGATTAAGTCTTTTATTTGGAATCAGCAAACGGACATTCGATAAAATTGTTTGACACTATTTGTTCTGTGATGGAGTCCTTTACATTTTAATTGCTGCTCATAATTGCCATTTCATTTAAATGTAGAGTTTGCATTCCATTAAAGCTAAAGAAATTTAATAAGAAAGCAGTGTACATTACTTATGAGATTTACATTAAAAATGAGAAGTAAAGATAAAGATAGATGATCTAAGGATATCGTCCAATGTTACATAAATCAGTATTTTTTATTTTGTCGTATCTGCAAGGCTTTTTTTCTTCTTTTGCTCTGCACATTTTTGGTTAAATATGACAATCGCTTTGTTTATTTAATATATTGGATTATACATATATACAGCACTTTTATATTATATTAAGTACATATAATACAAAATATATCTATTACATTTTATCATTTATTACCCTTTATCATTTATTCTCGATTTACGATTAATTCTACTATGAAAGAATAATTAACGAATAAATAAATTCGAATAAATAAAAAGAATAATTAATGATATGATAAAGCCGATTTTATGATATGTAGTGGTAATAATTTTTAACGATATACTTCAAATATATCGAATCTTATAATATAAGATTTTTACAATATTATTGTTAATCAATCTATTGAATTTTTGTTTGTTTGTTTGTTTTTTCATTTTACAATGATCTAAAGATACGTATTTTTATAATATTCTTAATGAAAATGTTATTTGTTAGTGAATATGTGAGATATCCTTAAAAATAAAAAGTTTGGAAGCAAATGTTAAGCCTTCACTAAGAATATATAAAAAATTGTAATAGCAATGGATTACTTTTTTGATAGTTTTAATTCGAAAATGTAAGGATATATTTTATTCATTTACGTTAAACATTATTTACACATTTTGATTTTCCATTCTTCATAATTAATGTTTGTCTGTTTGTGTACGAGACAAAGATAAAGGGGAAAAAAAAGAGATAAAACAAAAAGATCGAACACTGCCGTCCTTGTTGAAAAATTGAAGAAAATACAGACCATTGATAAATGTGTTTGATTTTCTCATTTTACCATTACAGGTAAACATCGAAGAGATCAACAATGAACTAATGGAGTTTCAAAATCGCTGCAGAAAGCTTCCCAAGGGCTTGAAAGAGTGGCCAGCCTTCTTCGCTTTAAAAAAAACGATAGACGACTTTAATGATATGTGCCCGTTATTAGAATTAATGGCGAACAAAGCGATGAAGCCCCGACATTGGCATCGAATTATCGAGGCGACCAGTCATTTCTTCAACCTCGAGAGTGAGGGATTCTGCTTGAAAAATATACTCGAGGCGCCGCTACTAAAGCACAAAGAAGACATCGAGGATATCTGCATATCGGCGATGAAGGAGAAAGATATCGAAGCAAAACTTAGACAAGTCGTGAACGAATGGTCCTCGCACGAGCTCACCTTCATGACATTCAATAACAGGGGCGAGTTGCTACTTCGTGGGGATACAACTGCCGAAACAATTGGCCAACTGGGTACAGCCATCATTATTAAAAGAAATAAAGAAAGAGAAGTTTTTTTCGAAATACTTTATCTTACTAAGACGCAATAGTCGCGGCTCAAAGCAAATGTCAATTTTAAATATATTTGAAAATATTCTGCTCATTAATTATTAATCCAATATTTCTTATATTTGTATCTTTGTATCTATTTCGGATATATTCTTCTTTTTTTATATGATGAATTATGAATTTCATTGTAAATTGATTCGTGATTGCATTAACATTTCTTTCCCTTCGATCACCGTGAAATACGTATGCATTTTAATAAAAAGATAAAAGGTAAAAATAAACGTTAATTTTGAAATTAATGCAATTTTACTTTTAAAAGGAAGCTGCTTCTTCTTTTCAGTTCATCCGACGTTCTTTATTATTAAGCACTTGACATAGAGTATTAAGTGGCAAACGGATATCGTTTCAAAATATGTAAAGCACTGTTCCAACATCAAAGCCAAGCGTTACTTTTGCATTATAGAGGACAGCCTCATGATCCTCGGCTCATTAATGTCCAATCGCTACAATGCGCCATTTCGCAAACAAATCCAGCAGTGGCTGGGCGACCTCTCCAACACCAACGAGATCCTCGAGCGTTGGCTGCTCGTGCAAAACATGTGGGTGTACCTGGAGGCAGTGTTCGTCGGGGGCGACATCGCGAAACAGTTGCCCAAAGAGGCCAAGCGCTTTAACAAAATCGATAAAAGCTGGCAGAAAATAATGCAACGGGCTCATGAGACGCCGGGTGTAGTGGCTTGTTGCGTCGGCGACGATTTACTAAAACAGCTTCTGCCACATCTTCAGGAGCAATTAGAGCTGTGCCAGAAATCCTTGAGCGGGTGTGCATTTTTTAGTCCATTTGCATTTATTCGCATGGTATTTCTTGTCTTTTCTTTTCCTTGCTTAGGATTAATAATCATAGCTTAAAATCTAATTTATAACGTAGAGTTCATGAGCGTATAAAGTTATTGAAATTACTAAAAATTCGTTTAATTGTATGGAAACGATATGTAACGGTTCTTCTTGTTATTCTTAATATGACCATAAGTCAATAAGTGGTTAACTAAGTCCCTATTAAATTTCTAATTTATACACAAGCCAATGAAAAATAATAAATGGATAGTGTACTTTTGAAAATTAAAAATTTGCATAAATTATGAAATTATTGAACTTCAATTGGTATGTTGAGATGAATATTTGTAGGCTTGATATTTCTACTTTCTTTATGCTTAAATGTTTCCGCTTTAATTATTATTGATAATTTCAACAAAGTAATTCAATAACGACTAATATTCTTTTATTATTTTCCTTTGATTTTCTTAAATGTCCTCGAAAAGAAATTCACCGCCCATATTCTGCCTTAGACTTATTCACAATTTACAATCCTCACTTTATAATTTATCATTAACTCCATTTTTCTCTTCGTACCACTAAAAGCACGACCCATTAACAATATGTTTGAGTTTCTCATTTACCGAGCAATGACCGTGCAAAACATTTTTCACTCTTTACGATATTTACGAAAGAATATTGTGCCGAAGGAAGAAGTATGCATAGCCTTAATAATTTCTTTAAAAATCACATCTTACCAATCATTTCATTATCTCTTAAATTCAATAATAACCAATAATACATTAGCAATAAAACGAATGAAAATAGACATAAATACATATTTATTTAATATTAATATTAATATTAATAAATTATTAGAAATATCATTTGGAAATCGCTAAAGTAATAATTCACAAAGCTATTCAAATTCGCGGTGAATATGTTTCATCAAGTTGTATTTGAAAAATGTATGCATAAAAGATATGTATGAAGACGTGTAATTTCATGAATTTCTTAAATTATAGTAATTAAACAAAACAATCTCTTCGTAGGTATCTGGAGAAGAAACGAATGATGTTTCCACGATTCTTTTTCGTATCTGATCCGGCTTTATTAGAGATACTTGGCCAAGCCTCGGACTCACATACAATTCAAAATCACTTGCTTTCTATCTTCGATAATACAAAACACGTTAAATTTCATGATATAGAGTACAACAAAATTACAGCTGTCATGTCTTCGGAAGGAGAAACAATACAGGTAAAGAAGATTGAAATGTTTTTCAAATATCTATATATATTTTTTTATTTATTTTTTTTCAATAAAATGCTTCGTGCTTCGTGTTGTTCGTTCATTCCAAATTATTTTTGTTTATCGTTAAAAAATATATTGGTATTCTGATGGAAGATCTAAAAGGATGACAATGCTTAAAATTAAATTGCTTTAAATAAATATATAAATAAAATCACTTTATAAACGTGCTCTGTCTGAGCTTCATTTTTATTTCCATAATAAAGGAATTCTATAATTTAGCAAAAAACAAATTAATTGTAGTTGATTAAAATAGCTAATTTCTTAGCTTGAGAGGGCAGTTCGCGCCGAAGGTTCGGTCGAAATCTGGCTAATGCAGCTTCTACAAACATCTCAACAATCCTTGCATTCAATTATACGCCAAAGCCATACAATGATCAATGATCAGAACTTCAATCTTCTTGCTTTTCTCGATAAAATGCCGGCTCAGGTTGGTATACTGGGAATTCAAATGATCTGGACTCGAGACGCGGAATTAGCACTCGTGCAAGCGCGCGCTGATAAAAAAATCATGGCTGAGACGAACAATCGTTTTCTAGAACTTTTAAATACTCTAATAGATCAAACGACCAGAGATCTAACGAAAATAGAAAGAACAAAATTCGAGACGCTCATCACTATTCATGTACATCAGCGAGATATATTTGATATTTTGGTAAGACTGTAACTAACGATTAATCTTAATTTTTAATAATTTGTTTTACGCATAGAATTAATATTTTTGCCATTAAAATCAAAATATAGTAGTACATATCATTTCTCTTCAACCGGCATAAACCTAAAAGATTTTATTGTCAATGTTAATATTAATTTCAGTGCCGCTTAAATGTTCGTTCGGTAAACGATTTCGAATGGCTAAAGCAATGTAGATTCTACTTTAAGGAAGAATTAGACAAGACCTCGATATCGATAACGGACGTTCAATTTATTTATCAAAATGAGTACCTGGGATGTACGGAACGATTAGTCATTACACCATTAACTGACAGGTGAATAATCGATTTTATTAATACAGCAATTATAGGAGCTACTTTAGCACGTTAAAATAATGATAGCGAATGAAATGAAATCGAAATTATGTTTTACCACATCTTATGTGCAATGATTTTTTTTTTTATTTATTTTTGTTTTTATTTATTTTTTTTTATTTTTTTATTTTTTACACCTTGACAGCTAATATTAAATTGAATTTAATATTCAAATGTAAATTTTAAGTAGACGGTGTGCTCTTACATCGTTCTTTACATCGTTCTGCACCAACAGTACTGCATTTTAAAAACAATCGTTCAAATAATTATTGACTATAAATTATATATCGAAAAAAACTGTGAGCAACTACCGTGCCATAATTATATTAATTTATATAATGTCAAATCGTATATTTAATCAATTGCTTTGCAATAAGGTGTTACATCACACTGGCACAGGCGCTGTCAATGTCAATGGGCGGCTCACCTTGTGGCCCCGCTGGTACGGGAAAGACCGAAACTGTTAAGGATATGGGCAAAACTCTGGCCAAGTACGTTGTAGTCTTCAATTGCTCGGACCAAATGGATTACCGAGGCTTAGGGCGAATATATAAGGGACTGGCGCAGAGCGGCTCATGGGGATGCTTTGACGAATTTAATCGAATCGAGCTTCCGGTCCTGTCCGTTGCCGCTCAACAAATAGCAGTTGTACTCGCTGCTAAGAAAGAAAAGAAAAAGCAATTTATTTTTACCGATGGCGATCGTATTGATATGTGCCCCGAGCTGGGAATCTTCATAACAATGGTTAGTAATTCTTTTGAGGCATTTTCTGTGTATTTAAATACATTATTGTACTGAATTAAATTAAAGTTTATTTTAATTGATCCGAGGATGCATATTTAATGGTAATGTTTGAGGTACGATTTAAGCGCCTTTCATCGTCGTCGTCGCCGCCGTCGTCGTCGTCGTCGTCGTCGTCGTCGTCGTCGTCGTCGTCGTCGTCGTCGTCGTCGTCGTCGTCGTCGTCGTCGTCGTCGTCGTCGTCGTCGTCGTCGTCGTCGTCGTCGTCGTCGTCGTCGTCGTCGTCGTCGTCGTCGTCGTCGTCGTCGTCGTCGTCGTCGTCGTCGTCGTCGTCGTCGTCGTCGTCGTCGTCGTCGTCGTCGTCGTCGTCGTCGTCGTCGTCGTCGTCGTCGTCGTCGTCGTCGTCGTCGTCGTCGTCGTCGTCGTCGTCGTCGTCGTCGTCGTCGTCGTCGTCGTCGTCGTCGTCGTCGTCGTCGTCGTCGTCGTCGTCGTCGTCGTCGTCGTCGTCGTCGTCGTCGTCGTCGTCGTCGTCGTCGTCGTCGTCGTCGTCGTCGTCGTCGTCGTCGTCGTCGTCGTCGTCGTCGTCGTCGTCGTCGTCGTCGTCGTCGTCGTCGTCGTCGTCGTCGTCGTCGTCGTCGTCGTCGTCGTCGTCGTCGTCGTCGTCGTCGTCGTCGTCGTCGTCGTCGTCGTCGTCGTCGTCGTCGTCGTCGTCGTCGTCGTCGTCGTCGTCGTCGTCGTCGTCGTCGTCGTCGTCGTCGTCGTCGTCGTCGTCGTCGTCGTCGTCGTCGTCGTCGTCGTCGTCGTCGTCGTCGTCGTCGTCTATATCTATCGAATATAATTCGGCAAAATTACGTTTAAGAAAATAAATAAAGGCAAATGTTCGATAGGGACGTTGAATAAATCCAGCGATTATTAAGACAATAGATAGCAAGTTTCATTAGACAATGAATCATACTATTTATTTAATTCATTCGATATGGGACATTTTAGAATCCAGGTTATGCAGGACGAAAAGAACTGCCAGAGAATTTGAAGATACAATTTCGAACTGTGGCTATGATGGTTCCTGACAGGCAGATTATTATTCGAGTTAAATTAGCAAGCTGCGGCTTCTTAGAAAATATTACTTTGGCTCGAAAATTTTATACATTATATAAATTATGCGAAGAGCAACTTACGAAACAAGTTCATTACGACTTTGGATTGAGAAATATTCTGTCGGTCTTACGATCACTTGGAGCAGCCAAAAGAATCAATTCAAAAGACTCGGAGAGTACGATTGTTATGCGAGTCTTAAGAGATATGAATCTATCAAAGCTCATAGGTATGCGATAAAAATAAAGCACTTTTTAAACAAAATAAATACTTTGGGCATAATTTCTTTTAGACGAGGACGAACCACTTTTCATATCACTGGTGGCCGATCTATTTCCAAATCAAGTTCTCGAGAAAACAACTTATCCCGAGCTTGAAGCAGCAATCGAACAGCAAATTGAAGCGGACGGACTGGTTTATCATCCACCGTGGGTCTTAAAGCTTATTCAATTGTACGAAACGCAAAGAGTAAGACACGGAATAATGACTTTAGGCCCTACCGGTGCAGGTAAAACAACTTGCATTCAGACTTTGATGAAAGCGCTGAGCGCGTGCGGAGAAGTGCATAGGTAAGATGAGACTCGACCTATGTATGCGTATATTACGTTAGACAGGTGACAGTTAAATTTGTGTTTGAATGTCCGTCGAAATGAGAAATTAATGATTAATTATATAATTGAAAGCACGCTAATCGTAATAAAATTAAAGTACATAAAGTATTAAAAGCTGCCGTTATTGCCTTGCGATAATAGCACGAAAGTCGAGGTTAAAGTCATAATTATTAACGTTAAACTTTCAATTTTCTAAATAAATTTTAAACATACATTGTTAGAAAGATTCTTATTTTAATTGGTAAATAACTTTTAATATACGTATCATTACAAGTATACTCTATATACGTGAATTTTTATACGTTGTATAAACAAAACGAGTAATCATTTTAGAGAAATGAGAATGAATCCCAAAAGCATTACCGCAGCTCAGATGTTCGGGCGATTAGATGTGGCAACGAACGATTGGACAGACGGAATTTTTTCGGCTCTTTGGCGCAAAACCCTGAAATCGAAGGAAGGTGAACACATTTGGCTGGTACTTGATGGCCCAGTAGATAGTATTTGGATTGAAAATTTAAATTCAGTCTTGGATGATAACAAGACCCTAACATTAGCTAATGGCGATCGTCTGCCAATGTCGCCAACATGCAAGATTATTTTTGAGCCGCACAACATTGACAATGCGAGTCCTGCGACTGTATCGAGAAACGGTATGGTTTATATGAGCTCGTCGGGACTCGATTGGGAGCCAGTTGTCACAGCCTGGCTCAAAACTAAGACATCCTTGCAAAAAGATGTGTTGGAGCAATGCTTTCGCGAATCTTTTGCACAGGTATTAATTTAAGATTTATTTTACCTTTTACTGAATTTATTGACGTAAATAAAGATTTACGCCTAAAGTACAAAACATTTATATTTTATATTTGTATTATTGATCATCACGTTATTAAGCATAAATGGTCTGTGTGCTTCCCGAATAATTTCTTTACGTCGTATTATTTCGAAATTTTTTAATCAAATAAACATATTATTTATCCCTGTAATTCGTTCTTATTTAACAAATTATATAAAAGTTTGGAAAAAAAAAAAGAAAGAAAATTTCACATTGGATGATGAAAATTAAATTAAATTACAGGTATACTCGTGGAGCACGCAAACTTTAACATTAGCGATTAGTGTTTTGCAATGCAACGTCGTTCGCCAGATGCTCTGTCTCTTAGAAGGCCTTATACCGCCTGAAATATCGGTCGAAGAAGAAGAAACGGAGCTGAATGATGATACTGTGCGAATAAAGCCAATGACAATTACCGAAGAATATCTGCGACGTCTTTACGTGTTTGCGTTAATCTGGGGTATAGGAGCTTTACTGGAGAGCGATGACAGATTGAAATACGATCAATACCTGAGATCGAATTTTCAATCTCTCGATCTGCCGGTTTCGCGAAAAGATGCAGAAGCTAATACGGTCTTCAGTTTCTTCGTTAACGAAACGGGAAAATGGGACTGTTGGACTAGTATATTAACAAATTATACGTACCCGGATTACTCGACGCCCGATTTCAATAGCATTTTAGTTCCCATAACGGACAACGTGAGAATCGAATATTTAATCAATTTAATAGGTAAACAGGACAAGCCGGTCCTATTAATTGGCGAACAGGGCTCTGCAAAAACTGTGATGATGAAAGCTTATATGAGGAAGGCCAATCCGGAGATAACGTTAAATAGATCGTTCAACTTCAGTTCGGCCACGACACCCTTTCAGTTTCAAAAAACTATCGAAAGTTACGTGGAAAAGAGAATGGGAAGTACATTTGGGCCACCCGGGGGCAAAAAAATGATTGTTTTCATAGACGACGTAAACTTGCCAGAAATTAACGAATGGGGCGATCAAATCACTAACGAAATTGTTCGTCAAACGATGGATATGAAAGGATTCTATTCTCTGGAGAAGCCCGGGGATTTTACGACAATATTTGACGTAAATTTTATGGCCGCAATGGGTCAGCCGGGCGGAGGACGAAACGACATACCTTCAAGATTAAAGAGACAATTTTGCATATTTAATTGCACTATACCCGATAACGCATCGATCGACCGAATTTTCAGTGTTTTAGGGGAGGGTTTTTATAACGTGAAACGTGGCTTTTCCGCGGAAATTCGAAATTTAGTTAAGAAACTTGTAGCAATTACAAGGATATTATGGCAGAACACGAGAGTCAAGCTGCTTCCGACACCTGCGAAATTTCACTATGTTTTTAATTTAAGGGATCTATCGAGAATATGGCAAGGCATGCTTGGAACATTGTCAACGGTCATTGACAAAGAAGAGACACTCATGTTACTCTGGAAGCACGAATACAAAAGAGTATTTAGCGATCGATTGATCCATCAGGCGGACAAAGACTGGTTTAATGACGAATTGGTTTCGGTTGTAAGGAATTCTTTAGGAGACACATACGTCAATATGATTCAACAAAGTCCATCGTTCGTGGATTTTATGAGGTGAACGATAATAAATGAATAACGAATGGATAATGGATATTACATCGGACACCCTAATACTGCTAATCGATAGATTATTATTCAGAAAAATATATTCTCTTAACTTCTCACATTGACATAATTTACATACATAATTAATAGCCTGCAATTTGTTAAATTTGTAGTCTTTTTCCTTCTTCATCTTATTTTCGTAATGATATTCAAGTATACCAGCACTGTTTTTCTAAATAAATGTAAAATACTAATGTAAAATTAACTAATGTAAAATAATGTAAAACCATAGCAAAAGTTCTTTTTGTACGCCTGATCGAGAATTATCTGATTCGCAAGTCGCCACTTAACTTTCTTCTTAATCAATTATTCATCAATTATCATAATTTTCATTAATTGTAGAGATGCTCCAGAGCCTACGGGCGAGGAAGGCGAAGACGCGGATGCGGAACTTCCAAAAGTATACGAGCCCGTTTACGAGCAAAAGATCTTGAGAGAACGCTTGGAAATGTTTCTGTCGCAATTCAATGAAATGCAACGAGGCGCGGGAATGGATCTCGTCTTTTTTCCCGATGCCATGCTCCATCTTGTAAAAATTTCACGCGTCATAAGACATCCGAGAGGCAACGTCATGCTCGTTGGTGTGGGTGGCTCGGGAAAGCAGAGCCTCACCAAATTGTCCTCTTTTATCGCTGGATATAAAACCTTTCAGATCAGCTTGACGCGATCCTATAATGTAACTAACTTTTTGGAGGACCTAAAGTTCTTATATCGAGCATGTGGTTGTCAAGGCAAGGGCACAACCTTCATTTTTACCGATTTGGATATTAAGGAGGAGGGATTCCTCGAATATTTGAACAATATTTTAAGTTCTGGAATGATAAGCAATCTTTTTACAAGGGACGAGCAGGCAGAGATCATATCCGAACTGACGCCAATAATAAAACGCGAGAATCAAAAGAAGATCCTTAATAATGAAATAGTGATGGATTATTTTCTGCAGAGGACGTGCCATAATCTCCACGTAGCCTTCTGCTTCTCTCCAGTAGGAGAGAAATTTAGAAATAGAGCTCAGCGTTTTCCCGCTCTTATTTCTGGCTGCACAATAGACTGGTTCGTTACGAATTCTCACCAACAATTTTAAATGTTTAATTAAATGCCACTCACCGCTTACCACTAACCACTGCTCCTCTCTTCCAATTATTCTTTAAAAATCATATTATTTTAATGACATCGAATGTAATTATGAAAATTAATTAGGAAAATAAACGCCAAATTTTACAAGATTAAGAAATAATTATATTATCAAATTGAATTTTTATCATATATAATATTTCTTTGTTTTCAAATTCTTGTTTCTAAAAAGCGGATAAACCGTGCTACTTCGATGATTTGTATAATTAAACATAGAAATGAATAAAAAGTAAAAGAAAAAGTGGAGGATTAAATTATCTTGTAAATTTATGTCATTGAATTTGTGATATTTTATAAGTAGTCGATAATTTCTTTCCACTTCTCGTCCACAATATTATCCATTGAAATTGCATTACAATATTTTCCATTGCATTACAATAGTATTCCAAAGCCTCGTGTGTTCAACCATTAATGATAAATAAAAATTGCATATATCAAACTTAGGTTCCAACCTTGGCCCAAGGATGCTCTGGTCCTCGTAGCTGAACATTTTTTGCATGATTTTGACATCGCGTGCACTCAGGAAGTGAAATCACAACTGGTGAACGCCCTCGGCTCCATCCAGGACAAAGTGTCGGAAACATCGACCGAGTACTTCCAACGCTTTCGACGCGCGACCCACGTTACGCCTAAATCCTACCTAAACTTCATCGGTGGTTACAAAAATATTTACAAAATGAAGCAGCAAGAGCTTGGCGAAGGTGCTCGTAGAATGGACACGGGCTTAGCGAAATTAGAAGAAGCGTCGATATCAGTGGAGATTTTGAAGCACGATCTTGCTGAAATGGAGAAGGAATTGGTTCAAGCCTCGCAAACCGCGGAAACGGTGCTCTTAGAAGTCACGGAGAGAGCTACGCAAGCCGAGTCATTCAAAAATCAAGTGCAGAAAGTTAAGGACAAAGCTGAGCAGCTAGTGGCTTGCATTGCCGAGGAGAAGGGGCTAGCGGAGCAGAAACTAGAGGCCGCGAAGCCCGCACTCGAGGAGGCCGAGGCAGCGCTCAATACCATAAAACCAGCGCACATTGCAACTGTGAGAAAACTCGGCAGGCCGCCGCACTTAATTATGAGAATTATGGATTGCGTGCTAATTTTATTTCAAAGGAAGTTGGGTAAGGATAATCGTTTTAATGTTTAAAATTTACATGTTTCCAAACACGTGGCGACGTTTTGTAGTAATAATTATTACTCGTCATCAAATTTGTCTGATTAAATCAATGAGAGCTCCTTGGAATATCATATAAAATTCGAATTTTCAGATGAAATTTATGTCCATGCTGACACTTGCCATTAAACTACCACTTTGTAATTAAAGATTTTATTTTAATACAAGTACAGGTCCTGTCGTGCCCGACATTACAACGGCATGTCCAAAACCTTCGTGGCAAGAATCATTAAAGATGATGGCAAGCACGACATTTTTGCTGCAACTACAAAATTATCCAAAAGATATTATTAACAACGAAATGGTCGAACTCCTGAAGCCGTACTTCAAAATGGATGATTATAATATGGAAACAGCCCGAAGAGTCTGCGGTGATGTAGCTGGCCTACTATCCTGGACCAAAGCCATGGCTTTTTTCCATTCGGTGAATAAAGAAGTTTTGCCGTTAAAAGCAAACTTAACGCTGCAAGAAGCCAGGCTGAAGGTTGCCATGGAGGATTTGGCGAACGCCGAGAGAGAACTGGCCGAGAGAGAAATGGCATTACAAGCTGTCAAGGGTAGATTGAAAAATTATGATATTAGAGATTTTTATGCAATTTATAAGCTATTGTAAGACTTGCAGCACTTTTATTATTTATAAACGGGGCTTGATGCGCATTATCACTATGTCTATTAAATATTGTTATTATGTTGATGCGATTGCAGGTCAATACGACAGCGCGGTGGCGGAAAAGCAAAGACTCACGGACGATGCTAACGTTTGCCTTAGAAAAATGACCGCTGCAACTGCCTTAATTAATGGTCTAGGAGGTGAAAAGATTCGCTGGACCGAACAGAGCAAAGATTATAAGTTACAACTGGGTAGATTGGTCGGTGACGTTCTCCTTGCGACTGGTTTCCTCTCCTACTGCGGCCCCTACAATCAACAATTTCGAGCAAATTTAATATCATCGTGGATGAGTATTCTCATGTCGCGAATAATTCCTTTTACCCAAGACTTGATCATTACCAATATGCTCGTCGACACGGCCACGATTTCCGAATGGACACTTCAGGGTTTGCCAAACGACGAACTCTCGGTGCAGAATGCTCTAATTGTTACAAAGTCCTCGTCCTATCCGCTCTTGGTCGATCCACAAAATCAGGGAAAAATGTGGATTAAAAATAAGGAAACATCGAACGAATTGCAAATTACATCGCTCAATCACAAATACTTTAGGACTCACTTGGAAGATAGTTTGTCGCTGGGTGAGTGCGCTATATTACTCGGTATAACTATTATTAAATATTGCAATTAACCATCGTTCATAATGTCCAATGCAACTACGTCAATTCGCAGGCCGTCCATTGCTTATTGAAGACATAGCGGAAGAACTCGATCCGGTTATAGACAATGTGCTTGAGAAAAATTTTATCAAGTCTGGTTCGATTGAAAAAGTCATCGTTGGCGATAAAGAATGCGACGTAATGCCCGGATTCATGCTATACATTACGACAAAATTGCCTAATCCTGCATACAGTCCCGAGATATCAGCAAAGACATCAATTATTGACTTCACCGTTACCATGCAGGGCTTGGAAGATCAATTACTGGGTCGTGTTATTTTAATGGAAAAAGCTGACTTGGAAGCCGAACGTGTTGCTTTATTCGAATCCGTAATGACTAATCAGAGGTCAATGAAAGAGCTTGAGAGCACGTTGTTGCACAGATTAACTTCATCCGTTGGGTCATTGGTCGACGATGAGGCTTTAATTGGTTTGTTCACAAATTGTATAATATTTTACATAAAGTTCGTTCGCATAGTTGTTGTTGTTGTTGTTGTTGTTGTTTTTTCTTTTTGTCTGTTTTTTTTCTTTTCTTTTGTTTACCTTTGATTATCTCATTTAGAGGATAAATCGAAATAAATCGAATTTTTATTATTAATTTAATCGAAAACAAAGCGATCAACAATTTTTTGTTTTAAAATAATTCGAATTATTTGTAATAGACGTTTTTTTCCTCGAAAGTGAGTTTCACAATTTTACAAAATTAGCCAATCTAACTTCTTACCAAGTGAAGCAATTAAAATATATTTATTTCCATGATAATAAATTACCAAGGCGTAGGAGAAATATGTCTATAAAATTTTGTTATTTCGCTAATTAATATAGGTAATCTAATAAAAAATTTTGTTATCCATAAATACTTTTTGGGATATTAACAACACTAACTCAATGAAATACCATTATTTTGAAAAAAGACTCTTTAACGTTATTCGTTATTCTATTATTCTCGTATTCATTTTTTCATTTTTAAAATTTATAATCTCAAGAAATGCAAATATACTGTTAAATCCATTGCTAATATTCTAAATCTCAATAATAATGAAAGCAAATTGTGTCAAGAAAACATAATTATCATTTACATTGTATTCATCTGAAATATCATTCAGACCTAGTTGTACCGTATGCATGATTTATAAAAGAAATTACATCAACTGTTTACTAAACTACTCATTATTCATTTTAATTAAAAGTTTGGCAATATTTTCAATAAGTCACATTATATTTACAGGAGTTTTAAGAGAAACGAAATCCACATCCGAGTCAGTTAAAGAGAAATTACAAGTGTCCGTGTTGACGGAAAAAAAAATAATAGTTGCAAGAGAAGAGTTTCGAGCAGTTGCAGCAAGAGGATCTATATTATATTTTTTAATCGTCGAGATGAGCAACGTAAATGTTATGTATCAGAATTCCTTGAAGCAATTCCTCACCATATTCGATAATTCGATTACAAAGTCGGAAAAAAGCATAACTACCAATGAAAGAATCAACATTATTCTAAGGCACTTAACATATGAAGTTTGGAGTTTTACTTTGCGAAGTCTCTACGAAAGACATAAGTTACTATTTACGCTGATGCTTGCTATGAAAATTGATTGCCAACGAGGTTTAATATCACATAATGAATTCATGGCATTTATTAAAGGTGGAGCGTCTCTCGATTTAAATGCAGTAACTCCTAAACCCTTTCGTTGGATATTAGATATAACGTGGTTAAATCTCGTTGAGATTAGCAAGCTAAAGGTCTTTGCCGAAATATTGACGAAAATTGAATTTAGGTAAGATTATTAGTAGGATTTTTACTATCCCAATTGGTTTAATTATTTATTATTATCGCATTTTATGTGACATAATTCGCCATTCATATGAACTTATTACATTAGTACGGCATATTTGTGCAACAATGTTAACATCAAAACGACTTACTAATCGTCTAACTATCGTACATTTTACTTGTTACTAGTGAAAAAGAATGGCGTATTTGGTACGAAAAGGAGAAACCAGAAGAGGAAGATATACCATGCGGATATCAGAAAAGTCTGGATGTTTTCCGCAAGTTGCTTTTAATTCGATCTTGGAGTCCCGATCGAACGCTTTCTCAAGCCAACAAGTACATTAAAAAATCACTGGGAAATCATTACGGGGAAGCAAAAATTTTGGATCTAGAAGCTACGTGGTCAGAGTCAGAACCAAGGACGCCACTAATTTGCATTCTGTCTATTGGATCGGATCCTAGTCCGTTAGTGACATCATTAGCCAAGCAAAAATCAATACGTACGTAGTATTTGTAATATTCAGATTTCGATAATAAGCCGAACAAACCTTATTTCTCGGTAAAAACAACACCCAAGGATTTTGTAATTTTTATCTATAATTTATGCATTATAGTCTTTGCAATCATGCACACGCATTGGCGTTCGTTCATTTGCACGATTGTAATTATAAAAAAATTATGTAATACTTTTCATTGTTGCATTTTTGCTTATGATACTTTGTGAAATTACTAAAATTTTATAGAGAATATAGATTATTTTTTGTGATAATTTCTTCTGCTTTTATGGGTGTATATTTTACAGGCCGATATCACTTGCATTATTAATCAAGATTGATATTAATGTTTATATAGAGTGTCTTTTGTAATTAATTACATGATCTAATCTTCATAAAAATTGAATGAAAAAAAAAAAAAAAACTTGTAAAATGAGTGTCCATCGTTTTTCATATAAAACTTTCCAAATGAATTTATGAAAATGCATTAATATTACATTGTTAATAATTTAAAGTCATAATTTATTCATTACATCACAGTACTGAAATCAGTATCCATGGGACAAGGACAAGAATGCCATGCCAGAAAAATGATAATCGATGCAATGACAACTGGTGGATGGGTACTCTTACAAAACATTCATTTATCATTACCATTTTGTTCGGAACTAATGGATATTCTTATGGAATCGGATCAAATTAACGATTTATTTAGACTTTGGATGACGACGGAAGTCCACTCGCAATTTCCCATTGGCCTGCTTCAGGTATCCATGCGCAACGTTCAAATGATCAATAGTTGTCTAAATAAAATAATTATCAAAAAAAAAAAAAAAAAAAAAAAAAAAAAAAAAAATAAGTATTTAAAGTTATAACTCAAAATACCTATTATGTATATTATGTATTTCATATACAAAATATATTGATAAAACATAATCCATTGTAGTATTTATATTGAATTTCTCAAAATTTCAACAAAATTACTCGCACATATTTCTTTCCAAATATACGAGCTTCGACTACAATTACATTCGCATAAATAGTAGTTTATTATGAATTAATTAGAATGCAACGCAGTCTTACCACCTTACACTTAAATTTATATCTATAATTGCTTATCGAATATTGCTCGACAATATGGATTTTCAAGTAAAATGCTTTTATTTCTTAAAATCCATGTAAAGCAAAGATAAAGTTTTAGTTAATTGCGGTAAATGCACCCTCCCTACAGATGGCCATAAAATTTACGAACGAACCACCACAGGGAATCCGAGCTAGTTTAAAACGAACTTATCAAGGAGTAAGCCAAGATATGCTTGATTATAGTACACAAAGTCAATGGCCACCTCTACTTTATGCAGTTGCTTTCCTTCATACGGTAGTGCAGGAGCGCCGAAAATTTGGACCACTCGGATGGAATGTTCCGTACGAGTTCAATCAAGCGGACTTTGCTGCTTCGGTGCAATTCATCCAGAATCATCTAGATGATATGGACTCGAAGAAAGGAGTGTCTTGGCCAACGGTGTGTTACATGCTTGGCGAGGTAACTGAAAAACGCATTAATGAACTAATCGATATAAATATATTGTTTAATTAAAAATATTGTGAAATGAAACGTAGTTGGTCAGAAAAAAAAAGAAGAAAAACAAAAAAAAATAAATAAATAATGCCTTACATGTTCACTTATATAATTTCATTTTGATCTCTAAGAAACTTATAGTATCAATGGAATTATTCAATTATTCTCTGAAGCAATTGCTAACATAAATAAAATTCTCTTATTAAACATTTAGTTGCATTTGAATTGTATTTTGAAGAGTTCTCTCTCTCTCTCTCTCTCTCTCTCTCTCTCTCTCATCATTCTTCATCATCAATGCATAAGTTTTGAATTTCACCCAAATTTATAATACGCTTTTCATGATAATTATTTAAAGGCTATGAATTTTTGTTAAAAGGTTCAGTACGGTGGTCGAGTCACCGATGACTTTGATAAACGACTATTAACCACTTTTACTCATGTGTGGTTCTGCGATGTACTCCTACGTGCTGGTTTTGAATTTTACAAAGGCTACCGAGTACCACAAACAAAAAGCCTCATTGGCTACTTGGATCATATAAACAGTTTACCTCAAAACGATACACCTGAGGTCTTTGGTCTACACTCTAATGCAGACATTACGTATCAAATCAATACAGCTAAAGGCATTTTGGACACTATCCTTAGTGTCCAGCCAAAGGAAGGAGGTCCTCAAGGTGGTGAAACTAGAGAAAATGTAGTATACAGATTAGCTGAAGATATGTTGGCAAAATTACCAATGGAATATAATGCTTTTGAAGTAAGGGAATCTTTGCAAAGGATGGGTCCATTATTACCAATGAATATATTCCTTCGCCAGGAAATCGATAGGTAGAGCATTCCTTAATTACATGTAAATTCAGAAGAGTTTTCAGTCTAAATAATAAAATAGGAAAGCATGTTAATTGCTTAAAGAGGGACATAAATTCTTGCGAAAGAAAAAGAAAAGAAAAGAAAAGAAGATAAAAAAGAAAACCCATTATGAACCCGAAAACCGATCATTAAGCTAACGTATAAACAAAATTTGACATAAAAAAATTGTACAATTTTGTCCGTTTACATAAACTCGCGAATTAACCACTCGAAGAAAGTTATGTCTAAGCGTTATTCTTGCCATTTTTAATTAATACTGTGTGCATTATACTTCTTCACCTTTTTTTTTTTTTTTTTTTTAGAATGACAAGAGTAATAAGGGAAGTGCGTACAACACTGACAAATCTCAAATTAGCGATTGATGGTACAATCGTAATGAGTCAAAGCTTACGCGAGTCACTCGATGCAATGTACGATGCCCGATTACCGGAGAAATGGTTGAGAATTTCATGGGAATCAGCAACGCTTGGATTTTGGTTTACCGAACTTTTAGAAAGAGATACTCAATTCAGAACATGGTGTAATTATGATCGGCCGAATGTTTTCTGGATGACAGGATTTTTTAATCCTCAAGGATTTCTAACAGCCATGAGACAAGTATCATTCTTTATTTTATAAAATGTTTTATTTACAACAATCATATTATTAATAATATTAGTTTTTAATGAAACAAATTTACTGTAGAATAATTTTTTTTTATTTATAGATTACAATAATTACAGCGTATAAATACTAAAATAAGAAAAAAAATTACAATATATCTTTTTCTTTTAATAAGTAAAATAAAGCTTATAAAATATTTTTTTATTTCACAATGTGCTTTAACGTTATTAATTTGGTATCAAGTTCCTCGTCATAAAGATTTTTTTCTTTTTCTTACTGTAAATAATAATAATAATAATAATAATAGCTCCATATTGTTAAATATGGTTTCATTCATATTTCATTGCATTTCATTCATTCATATAATAATGTATGCGTGTATAATTATTTATTCAAAAAGAAAGAAAAAAAAGAAAAAAAAGAAGAGAAGTATAAAAAGAAAATCGCCAATATTAAAAGTAATTAATGATCATGACTCGGTATTGCAATTGTAAACAAATATATCTATATTTATATGTTTGTGTGTGTGTGTGTGTGCGCGCGCCTCTTTACTAATTAATTAACCATTAAACGTTTTTTCCTTTTTTTCTATAATTTTACTAATCAAATAATATTGATGTAACAATTTTAGGAAGTAACAAGAGCTCATAAGGGTTGGGCTCTCGATTCGGTAGTCTTACAAAATTTAATAACACGATATAATAAAGAAGATATTAAGGAACAACCACAGGAAGGTGTTTATGTACATGGATTATTTTTAGAAGGTGCTTCGTTAGATCGCAAATCTGGAAAGCTCGTTGAGAGCAAACCAAAAGTGCTCTATGAGCAAATGCCAGTTATTTATATTTATGCAATTAATACTACTGCGGGAAAAGATCCGAAATTATACGAATGCCCAATATATAGAAAACCACAAAGAACTGATCAGAAATATGTTGGCTCCATTGACTTTGAAACAGATCACAATCCTAGGCACTGGACACTTCGTGGCGTAGCTTTATTATGCGATATCAAATAAATTCTGCAGCTCTGTTTTTACTATTTACTGATGTGAATAAAGCATTCTGTGCTTTTATGTTCGAAAGATTGAAATTTGAAATGAATTTAACTCAATATATCACCTTTTTTTTTTATTTTTTTTTTTTTTTTTTTTTTTTTTTTTTGGAACGGGCAAGCGCACAGATTGTATTATTCAATTCAAAATAGTTTGATATAATAATGTTACATAATAATTAAGATGTAATTGTCTTAATTAGAATCACTGAAATAGTTTAACTTTAAAAGAAATTCTAAACATTTAATTGATAACATAATTAATTTAAAAGAGATATCAACATTCTTTGATTCTAATTTATTGCAACAAACTTTTCACCGTATCGATAATGTTTTTTATAGCGTTTGCTTCTGCCGACATAATATTTTGACCGTAGCCAAATTCTTGAATATCTGGTGCTGTGTTTAATTTTATACTTATTATGGACTTTGTATTGAAGTTTTTGTTAGAAGAATATTTCATATAATAAACTGGTATTTCAAATGATTCCATAACATTTTCAAATTTTTGCTTTAACTCGTGCGTGTTAGCTATATTTTCCAAACCAATTTCAATGTCTTCTAACAGTACTAGAAATTCATTTCTCTCTTGTTCGCTCAATCTTTCTTTTAGACTTTTATAGTAGTTTGATATTTTAACACCCCAATTTACTTTAGGTTTTACTATCTCGTTATTTGTTTTACTTAATTTTCCATATTTAGCAATTGCTACTTCATTTCGAATGTCCATCATGTTTGTTTTAGAGTCAGATAATTTATTAATTACTCCATCCGTGACGACGCTTGAAATACGATTTAGCATTTTCCGTGCTGCTTCATGTTTGGCCTGTTTCTTTGTCGTAGCGGTGCCTTCTTCTATAAAGGTCGATACCAAACATTGTACAGTAAAAACTTTTGCATGAGCGGGTCCTATGTTGCCTGTCTCTTTATACAAAGGATCATCTAAATTAGTCAGCGAGCAGAAATCCTAGAAATACAAGAATCAGATACATAGAACAAGATACATTCTTTTAACTAAAACTAATAATGAATTAATTTTAACAAGAAACTAAGTTTATTTACATTATTTGTAATTTTGTTCGCGATTCATTGTAAGATACACATTTTTTTAATTTACATTTCGTGTAAATTAATTTTCCAATTAACAAATTCATTGGATAATTTTTGTCATTTTCTCGATTCAATTTATAGTTTCAATAAAATTTGATGTTTTAAAATATAAAACTGTTTATTTTCTTACAATTTAAAATTACTACCTGTAGTTCACCAATGGTATTACGAAATTCAACGTTTGTTGTTAACTTTGGTGATTCAGGTAATTTCGGTATTGGTGATTTGATTGGTGATTTGCAAGGACTCGCAGGTAACTGAAGTAGCCCCTTTTCTTTTGCAATTACTTCGAGCATCGCCGTTGCTGCTTTATGCTTAGCATCTTTTTTACAACGACCCGTCCCAGATGCTTGGAGACCATCGCATAAAACTTGATATGTAAAAACATTTTGATGCGATCCACCTCCATTATAAATAAGCTCATAATTTGGAATTCCACCCTTTTTTACCATCATTTCTTGTAATATGGAGACAGGTGTCTTCTTCATAGTTTTATCATCAAACGGGAACTTGGCTTTTGTGAATAATCTAAAAATACTTAAATATCGATGAGAAGTATAACTTGAACCTAATAAATGTTATAAACCTTATTACATCCTTACTTTATTAAAGCAATGATATTCGAAATTATATCACAATTTACAAGCGATATATTAAACGTTGAAGGAATTGAAAAAAAAAAACAAGAAATCATGGTCATTAAATATTACACTACATAAAGCAGGCATAATTTCATTCAAATGCTTACACTGATATCACATTGGCCAAAATTAATTTAACCTTTTACCATGAATAAGTTTTAAGTTCTCAACAACTTTTTCATATACATAATTAATCACGAATCATTCGGTCATATCAAGTTAACCTTAAGTTAAGTAGTCGATACCTTTCAAACAATGCAAATCCTCTGGTTTAGCCACATGGGAAGAATCGGGACAAAATTTATTGTCCTACGAGAGGGCAAAAATTGTATTATCCTACGGATAAACTATTGATTATTGATATGGCATAAGCCGAAATTATCCGTGAGAAATTTAAAAAGGCCCAGAAGTTTTTGGGAATTTTTCTTTGAATCTTTTGGCTTTCGCTGGCTGAGCCGTTGAAAATCGATCAATGAAAGATCAATTGAAATGATGTACGTGAACGAAAAATTGTCGGTGCATTTATGAACAAAGGTAACATAAATTCCATTGGAGTTACGTTACAGTTTATTATCATTAGTATATACATTGTGTTTACAATATTATAATTGAATAAATGAATAATGAAATTTTATTCGTGTATCTTAAATTATATCTTTATACATTATTATAAGCTATATAAAATGATTGATTTCTAAGATAATTTCACATTGTACAAGTCTTGTTTTGCTTTTGGGATAGTACATTAACCTAACCTTAAATATGGCATACATAAAAGCATGTATATATTTATGTATTCTATGCCTAACCTAAATTATATTAATTTATTTATATATCGGCTATTGTGTTTAATACAATTATTCTAGTACTACGTATTAATACCGAGGTATTTAAAATCATTAGCAGTATTGGATAAACGTGATGAATATAATTTAATTTTCTAAGGGACAAATGAAACAAAATTACTGCCTGAATGTATATTAAATGAACATTCATGAATATAGTTACTGTTTCATCTAGTAAATGTTAAAATACGGTTCATAGATCTATTAAATTATACAATCGCATAGTTTATAAGTTAACAAGGAAAAATGATGGATTTCAAATTATTTAATTATGTGAATAAAATGGTAAAAAGTAGAGTTCTATCTCTTTCAACAATTTCATGCCAATATTCAAATTGCAGTTATCGCAACACTATTTTCTGTCACAATATAAATAATTGCACGGCAATATTAAAAACTAATATAATGACGCAGAAACAAATGCGAATTAGTAATTGTATATTATCAAGAAATATTTATTTGTCTAAACTATATTGTGCTAAAAATAAAAGTAAAGAAAAAAAAAAATCAAAACCAGCAAATCTTGATTTACGAGAGGTAAATGAGATATACAATGTTGAAAAATTGAAGCTTCAATTTACGAGAAGTATTGAAAATATGAAAAATGAGTTTGTAAAGAATTTTACTCTTCGTTCAACTGTGGGCTCTATAGAACTCATTTCGGTTAAAATGGAAGATAAAGAATACGAAATACAAGAGCTTGCGCAAGTTAATCGTACACCAAAATCAGTGATACTTCATGTTAATTTTCCATTAGCGATACCATTAATTGTTAAAGCTATTCAAAATAGTGGACTAAATATCAATCCACAATTGGATGGAACAACTATTTCTTTACCTATTCCTAAGTAAGTATAATTTTTAAGTTTATTTCCTTTTCTTTAGACCCTTACAAAGATGTCGTATATTTATAATTTAGAGTTACAAAGGAATACAGGGAAAAACTTGCCAAAGGTCTCAAGATAGTCTACATGAAATACAGAGATGAGATTAAAAGTAACAGGTCTGCAGCGATTAAAACAATAAAAGGTTCAGCCATTGGAGAGGATGTAATTCGTCGTGCCGTAGCACTAATAGAGAAAGTTGCCGATCAATATTTAAATGAAATTGAAGATATTTTCAAAAATAAGCAAACCGATATATTAGGAAATTGAAGTTCATGGCAAGTCATGTAATTAGTTCAAAACTTAGATTGACATATTAAAATTCAGCATCGATGAATTGGTATTAAATTATTAAAAATATACTCTTTTGGAAAGTCTGGTTAT